GTATTAAAGTTAATAAGTTACGTTTGTCTTCAAAAATATAAATATTACTAACGCTTTTCATCTGAAGACGTTATTAGCATGCATATTATATGTTCGGTCATGCCCACAATGTGCCAGCAGTTGATAAGGGAAGGGCTCTGTCATATTTTAATGAATTATTTTATCTCGTGTCCGCCAGGACAGTATATTGCCATATTACCGGCCATCCCATTCTGTATACAAAATGCCTATTTCAGTTTAAAAAACAAGTTAACCTGTGTTTCTAAAAATCTCCTCTTAAAACAGGAAGATTTTTTTTAATTAACTATAAAAAGTGTAATTATTACATATTAATTATTATTTTTGCGTACTTTAAAAGTTCAAAGTGTATAAAATGTTTCAGGATTCCACACACTTCTTCTATTTCTATCAGAAATTTAATGAAGTGGTCTTTAAATGATTACATAAGTGTTAAATATAAATTTATTACTTACTTTTATTTGTACAATTAAATTAATATCAACTAATAGCTACTAATATCGCATAAAAAGAAATGCTGTATACTTTGACTAATTTATTTAAAATAATTTATTGAAGAAGTGCATAAGCGAAGCGTCTTGTATATAGCTTAGGAAAAGAGAGAGTCAAGTCTTCGACCAAGTAGGTAGTGTTTTCATGTGCTCCTTCCTATTTCATGGTAAGCTCAGTGACTAGGCTTAGCATTGCTAAGGCTAAGTTTTTAGGCGTTGTATTTAGTGAACTTTGGTGTTTTTGGAGCATCCATCTTGGCTTCTTCAGCTGGGAAGCAACTGTGGTGAAGTTCAACAGCCATCTTGTGCAGTGGCAAAATAAACAATCGCAGCCATTGTGAGTGACACTATCTGCTACTTTTGGTTTTCAAGGGAACACCAAGAGCATCCCCTGTGTGTTTCAGCTGCCCGTGCGTAGGGATGTCGCCATAGCACTTTTGCAACTGTGAGAAAGCTAAAACCAGCAAGCACTTCAGGTGGGTTGCGAGCCAAGCTAGCTTGGCTGACACTTTTGCTGGGGTCCACCCTATCCATCAGGTGCCGAGGTAGTTTTCGGTGTGGATCAACATGCTTCAATATTCCAAGCCAGCAGTTCTGCATCCCTGGACAACTATATTAACGCTACATACTAGCAACCATTTACCTTCAGGATACTGAGCAGGAAAGCTGGTAAGTGTTTTTTGGTTAGCTTTATCGCTTCTTCCGGCTACTCAGAACTCTTGATCTACATCAGTTCAAGGTTGTTGCTGTCTAGTGCGTCGTCAAAACTTGTCGGCATCCCGTGTAATCAATTCTGTTTGACAAGTGCGTCATTCAGGCACTTCGGCCAAGGGTCTTAACTCACAGCATTTTTTCGTCTAGAGTGTCAGTTCTCTTTACATAATCAATTACCTTTGTTCAATATTTGGGTGGTTTCCACTGAGCTGTTGTTATGGATGAGCCAGAGGAAGTGTCTGACCCTCCTCTGTTGGGTAGTAATTCTGCATCTAGGCCTAGTACTCCCGGGAGTACTATTGTGGATGGTGACTACAGCTCTGTCGAGGCAAGGTTACTGCAGGAATCGAGTGACAATCTACAGAGGATCATGCTCCTCATCCCAGCATCTAGTAAATCAAACCCATCGATCAACGAGAAAAAGGAAATTAACGATAGGGTCACACAAATGTTTTCTGCTATCAGCCAAATGTTTGGCATTCTGCAGGAGAAAAGATTATCAAAGGCAGGTCAGGGCAATGCCCATCATCAGAGTCAGCAGGCTTGTACAAATCCAGTATCCTATGCTGATGTAGTGAGAACTAACATCTCACCGAGTACCACCACAAAAGCCATATCAAGGTCCATAAATAACAAAATCAAGAAAGAAGGCAGTGGGAGCAGCTATGCTCTCATTGTCTATCCGAAAGAAAATGAAGGGGCTCGGGTTAACATGAAGGAACTTCACAAAGAAATCACTACAAACATAAAGCCAGACAAACTTAAAATAAAAGTCACAGCGATAAAGCCAGTAAAAAGGGGACGGCATATGCTTCCGTACTAGTACTAGGAGTGACGCATGTGCCTTGAAATGGGCAATTGGGGAGCTCTCGAAAGTGCACCCTCACGTTAGTACTAAGATATCAGAAGGTAGACCTCCGAGAATTATCCTGTTAAATGTCCCCAAATTCGGTTGAGGAAGATGGCATTATTGGTACTATTTATGAGCAAAATGCATCGCTCAACGCTATATGTAAAGAAGATTTTTTGTCCTCCACCAGAGTCAGCACTTCTCTCACAAGGAGTAACACGCGTGAGAACTGTCGACATATAGTTCTCACTACTACTCCAAACATCAGAAGCCAGTTAATTAAGTAATAGCATCTCTCAATCTCATGGGCCAATGTTCTTCTAGATGACTATGTCCATATAACTCGATGCTACATGTGCTGTGGTTTTAACCACATTGCACGCGAATGTTCCCTAAAGCAGTATTGCAGTCACTGCTCGAAAAGTCACAGATTCAGCGACTGCATGAGGAGAGACCAACCACCGTGCTGCATAAATTGTAAAATGTCAAATAAGGAACTGGCCCCGGATAGACGTCTACCCACCAATCATAACGCCTTCGACTCCAAATGCCCACATTCAATCAAAACAAGGGAGCAAGCTATTAAACAAACCAATTATGGGTTCTAGTCCTTTTGGGAGTCTCAAACTGCTTCAAATTAATTTACAACGCTCCAAGGCTGCAGCTACTGAAGCTATTCAGGTGGCAAACTCACATCAGGCCGATCTTATAGCAGTCAGGGAACCGTATTGCTTTAATAAGAAAATCGCTCTCTTTGGGCGCTTCACTGTATTTAACCACATAAACCAGCTTAAAAACCCCGTAACTGGTATTATCTTATTAAATAATCGTCTAGATGCGCAGCTCCTGCTGCACCACACCAACAGTTATTTTACCACCATCTTAATGAAGCATCAGAATACTTCAGTGGTTATTATCTCCTTCTATTGCCCACCATCTGTAGACATTACCAACCCACTAGAGGAACTGCAATCTACTATACAGCAACTTAATGGTCTCCCCGTCCTAGTGGTAGGGGATTTCAATGCTAAGTCCTAGGTATGGCATAGCTCCTTCGAGGATCCAAGGGGCTATAAGGTGGTCGAATTAATGAATAGTCTTAGCCTTCAGTCGCTAAACACAAGTACCCTGCCCACCTACTCTTCCTCCACGGGGGAGAGATGGGTGGATATCAGTCTAGCAAATTGCCTCCTCACTCGGCAAGGCATCTACTGCAGCACTCTTGATGAGCATTCAGCAAGCGATCACAGTTATATTGTGACTTGCATTCATATGTCTCGTGTGGTTAAGCTGCTGTGTATAAGGCAAAAGACAAACTGGGCAAAGTATCAAGAACTTATCAAGACTCATTGGCACATTGATCCTGTGGTGCACATCGAAGATACCACTGCACTGGAGCTTGTTATTGATAAGTTACAATACCTAATCCTTTCGGCTTACCACTCAGCAACAACAATAACTACAGCGAGGCAATCTGCTCCCTGGTGGACGAAGTAGCTGTTTAACCAGAGGACCTCACTTCGGAGGGCCAGAAAAAGGTTCAGGCAGGAGACTGATCCTGTTAGGAAAGAAAACCTGCGACAAGATTACTTAACGTTATTCCATTGCTACAAGACTGCCATACAAAAGGCACGCACTGAGTCATGGAGGAGGTTCTGTTCAGACATGGGAGGTGACAAGCCTTGGTCCGTCCCTTACTATATAGCAAGGGGCAAGGTTATAAACACCAGGATCCCTATCAATCTTGTTACTAACAACAGCAACCCCAACACCTCAATTAAAGACACCTTCAACCATATAATCAGGGATCTCTTACCCAGTGATGACCCTAACACGGACAGCAACATCCACTCCACTATCCGTCAAAACAGTTTAACCAGCTCCTCCACTTTTGAAGATAGGCCATTCACATACCAGGAGATTGCTAATGAATTCTCAAGGCTAAAGATTCGTAAGGCACCCGGCCCTAACCATATCAGCCCTAGGATGGCAAAGATGGCTTTTGAAGCTATTCCTACAACCTTCACTACAATATTTAATAGGTGCCTGCAGTTAAGCCTTTTCCCCCACATATGGAAAATAGCATCTATAAAACTTATTCCCAAGAATAATAATCCTACTAAGTCAACAGACTATCGTCCGATTTCTCTCCTCCTGGTAATAGGTAAAGTTTTCGACGGTCTGATGGTCAACAGACTCCAGTATCATTGTAAAGCTAACAACTGTCTAAACAGCAATCAATATGGATTCAGGAGGGGTAAAAGCACGATCAATGCTTTGGAATCAATTGTCAATTTTATTCGGGAAGCTAAAGAAAGGGATGAGCACACCATGGTGGTCACCATTGATTTCAAAGGTGCTTTTGATCATGCATGGTGGCCCGCAATCCTCAATGCTATCAATGGTACCGTGTGCCCTAAGAACATCTACGCCTTAGTCAAGAGCTACCTAAGCAACAGAAATATAGTGGTAACCAGCAATAATCACATCTACCTATTAAGGGGCATCAGCAGGGGCTGCCCACATGGCTCCAGATCTGGGCCATTTTTATGGAATATTATGTACAACAGCCTCTTGGATCTAAGCTTTTCTATACCAGCTGCTTACAACTGTAGGTTACAGGGCTACGCAGATGACACGATTCTGGCACTCACCCACCGGAATCAAGAAGTCCTGCAAGCCAGGGCCAACAGCATTCTGCAAGATATCTCAACATGGTGTCAAAAGATAAAACTTAAAATTAATTACGAGAAGTGTTGCTGTGTAGTCTTCCCAAGGGCTGCTCCCTGCACAAGGGGCCTATAATCAGATTAGATGGACACCGGATTAAAAACAGCAATACGGTCAAGTACTTGGGTGTGCTACTGGACAACAGACTCACATGGAAGCCCCACGTCTATTATATTTACGAAAAAGCAGTCACTGTCATGCATTCTCTGGCCTCCATAGCCCGCAATCATTGGGGGTATGGCAGTGTGGCATGTCGGCTACTTTACATTGCGGTCCTTGAACCTATCCTGATTTACGGTTCGGAGGTTTGGGGAACATCCATCACCAAGGTTCACATTAGGAGAAAGCTCCTTTCGGCTCAGACGCTTGCCCTCATTACAATAACCAAAGCCTACAAGACAGCCCCGACCGACGCACTCTTGGCAATTGCTAACCTAATCCCAATAGACATTGTCATCAAAGAGAAAGTTTGGACGTTTCATCAGCTTCAGCTGTCCACTGGCACCGTTACTACCAATCGCTTTAACAACATCATTAGTCAGATTGGTGTAAGCCCAGCTGCAACATGCATTTCTGATCACTTGTCTAAACACAAGCTCGACTACAATCCTCGGCATTTTGCCCACCATCCTAGCACCACTATTGATGAACTGTTCACTCTGGGGGGTGCTGATGCCCCTATCGGCCTCTGTATATATACAGATGGGTCAAAATCTGACGCGGGGGTGGGGTGCTCAGTCGTCGTGGCAAACAACAACAGATACATCCACCAGGCTCGGTTTAGGCTGGCTAGCCATTGCACTGTTAACCAAGCCGACTCCCTGGCCATCTACAAGGCTTTACTTTGGATCACGGAAAATAAGAAGGCTTTTAAAATCACTAGGGTTACGATCCTAAGTGACAACCGTGTTGCTCTGTTGCAACTTAAGAAACTTAATACTAAACTGTCAATAATTCAAGATAGCATCAATCTTCTGCTCACACTACCCCACACAGTATATTCATCAAGCTTTCCTGGGTGAGGGGGCACTCTGGCGTTCAGGGCAACAACAGGGCTGATCTATTAGCTCGCTCGGCGCCTGTCTGGACGCGGAGATGTTCCTTCGGTGTCACCCCAGTATCATGGCTAAAGGAGAGCATCCGCAGCCACTCATGGAAGTGCTGGCAAGGAAGATGGGACAACAGCTCCACGGGCAGGACTACTTACAGCTTCATTCCCAATGTTCTTCAGAGGAACCTTTGCAAGCATCTTGTCCCCACATTCCAGGTTACTCAACTTCTCACCGGGCACGGCAACTTCTGCAGCTACCTCAATAGGTTCCTGCCGAAGACTGACAGCAAGTGCCCATGCTCCTTATAAGAAGACGAAAGCACAGAACATGTTATCTGGCACTGCCCATCATACAACGAACAGCGAAAGGTACTCATAAGCACGATCCAAAAGGAAAATGAACTATGGCCATGCCACAGGAAGACTATGATAGATAACAGCAATATCTTCAAAGCCCTGAAGACTTTTGCATTGGATATAAAAATCCTTGACTGAGCATCTTCGTGGACGTACTTGTGCTACCTCTTTGGGGGCTTCTTCTTAAGTGCAAGGATATAGGGTAGGTAAACCCATCACTGTGTAACATCACTTCGGCGGTCAAACCTGCTCTACTGTATTTATCATTGTAAATACTTTGTCTTCTTTGATAACACATTGTAAGCGCTCCCTAGGCACTCATCCTATATTGTATGTCTCGGCAAGACTTTTCAGGTCATGTGTTGTTTCTCAGGTGTAACGTGTTGTTTCCGTTAAGTGCTTCTAACTGTGCGTGTAACTGTAACCCTGGATGCCAACTGCAGCTTTACGAACAGTATTGTAACATCATAATTGTTTTGGCCTGTTTAGGTGACACTATTCTTTTTTCTAGCCAATTAAAAGCATCCTATTTTTATGTTAGTACCATGTACGGTACCTGGAAATTTATTGTACACGTTTCTGTCAGCTCAACAAGCTTGTATTATGTACGCGTATCGGTAAAGTAGTTTTCAATTATCGTGCCACAAAAGCAAGTTCTACTGTAATTTGTATGCTCATCTTTGTATATATTATGCACTTTGTTTTCAATCCAATTTAATGCATTGCAAGCACCCATGGATCCCTCAATAACTTTCAACTATCCTATCTCACTTCTTTTCACCTTCACCTTACTCTCTTCTTATACAAACTTTACTTTTTCCTTCCTTTTCTGGTTCCGGGGCTATACCTATGAGTGCGGCCCATCACCTCCTCCTACGATGTATATGGCTTAGAGACTGGTGTTTGTTCTCAAAATCTGTTCGATCAACTTTTATTTAACTTTACCATTTTTAATTAATATCAATGAGAAATTCAAAAAAGTAATAAAAATGGCTTTGTTTTCGAGATATAATATCGTAGTTCAAACACAACATTGTTGTCGATGTTCCACGAGCACTCCTATGAACTTATAAAATTGACTTTACTGTTTACTAATAATTGTGATCAGGAATCTGAAACTGTGATCAGAATTTATTTAAATGTAAAAGGTAACCGCGTGAAACAAGAACAAAGCAATCGCCATCATTTGCTATGTTCTTGAATGCCTGTTAGCGTGCAACCAGTGCAAGGATTCGGCAGCTACAAAGATTGCCTCTTCTGTGCTTAACAAATGGATCAGTTCTTTCTTTCCGGCTTTGTTCATTTCTGCAACGATACAAGAAAGTCGCGCGATTTCGTACATATATTCATATTTAAGTTATTTTACAGTACTGTATTAAGTTTAACATTAATTAAATGTACTTTTCAATCTAAAAAATTTAATACAATGAAATATTTGAGGCAAAAAATAATTACGTAAACAACTCAGAAATTACATATGTATCGTTATATAATCGAGATTTTTCTTAAATTTAGTTTTATTTATTGTGGGAATCCTCAGTTGAGATAGTGTGTTTCCCACGTTTTTTTCGGCCTGAGATCGGGAAGATCCGCCTGCAGGGTCACTGATATGGGTTTTAAGTATTATTTAATTTGGGGACATGAAATTCGTAAGATCCCCCTGTCAGGTTTTCTTGACGCCAGCCTAATTAGAGCGTTAAGCAAGCTAATGAATAAATATAAAATGCTTTTCCAAGAGGGAGGGATCGTGGACCCCTGATAAGACTGACGTTGAGTTGAGTGCAATAACGAGACCATTTAAAGCAACAAAACAAAATTTAATGACGACCAAAATATAAAAGGATAATTAATCGATACATAAAGAGATGCGAGACCTCTATCTGATCGCGAGAGAGAGATGGCTTAAAACTTAAACATACTATGTGAAAGATAACTCTGGATAGAAGGCTTCTTACTCTAAGATGAACCGAGAGCGGCAAATTATTCCGGCGGACAAGGGTCGTGGAGGAAGATGAAGATGTTGGATTTGTAAACACCAGAATATTTTTCAAGAAATCTCCGAATCGGGGGGGATCGAACATTTTAATGTGAGTTTCGTCCAATAAAAATTATAGATTTACGTTCGCTAACAAGGGGTAGATACACGAATGGTTGTCAAAGTTGTAGATAAGAACGTGTGAAAGGGAAGTTAATTTTCCCTTTTACACAAAAATGATAGATGTGTTTTCCGTTAATGAAAATAACACATAGAAGATATATATATTTTTTTCAAAATAATCAAAGTGAAAAATTTTGCTACAATTTAAAACAGTAATACTCTCTGTCGAAAGATGTGGGAAACGTCTTGTACGACCTAGATTAGAACCGTTTACTAGTTCAATTTATTAAACTCTACATTTTATTATTTAATTATATAATATCCGTTCTGATTCTCACATTATTTTATATTTATTAATTTTGAAATTTAACATATTCAAAATAATTTAAATTATATTTGTGAACGATATAATAATCTGACCCAACACACAAATTAGAAAATTCGATTGTGTTTTATTTTAAATGACTTTAAATCAAAGTTCTTAGCTTTAGCTTCTCAGCATTTTCTGACAGTAAACGACGGGCGTTTATTTTAAAATACAGTACAATTGGGGACAAACTTTTAAATTCTTTCGGGAACGGATGTAAGAAATAAATCTTCACAATTGAAAACTAACAAAATAAATATATGTAAATAAACGTCATGTTATAATTCATTTAATAAGGCGAATTCTTAGGTAACTCTTAATATAAAAAGTCGTAGAATATTAAATTTTAAAAATGGTCAACCGAAATTTGATAGAAAAAATAAAATAAAATTTTACTGTGAAAAACTAACGATCTATTAACTTCCGTTTTTCAGATCACTTGAGAAATGATTTCCCCATATAATTTATTAATTTGTTATGTGTTTAAGGCTTGAGCTTTTCGACTGTACAGCGACCCGCTTTCTCCATACTTTGTTATTTGTATAGTTTAGTTATGGGAACGCAACAGTCGGGCGATCGGCCCAGGGGGATGCCTTCCTGGAGGTCTTTTTAAGGGAAACTGGCCACTATTTAGGAGTTACAGACGTGGAGAAAACCGGGAGGCGCGAACCCACGACCAAACTCCCAGCGTACAATGTACGAAGACCGCTCGGCCACCAGTGGGCCGCTTTCTTCATACAAACAGAATGTAATTTTTCTGGACATCGCGTGTATAATTAAAGAGGTTACAATTAGCCATAGATGTAAGACGAGACGAAGAAATAGAATGAGTGCTGTTTTTTATAATAAATAATATAGAATAAGAACCAAGTTTGCATGCTATCGATTTTATTTTCTTAATTATTCATATTACATTCTTTAAATTTATAATAATCATGGCATTGATTTAAATTTAAATTTATGACTTAATTATTTTTATTAGAATATATTTATATTATTCATTGATTATATTCGTCGTCGCTATATATTTGGTTTAGATACGTGGTCAGGCTCCAAATCATGTTTAAAGTCCGACTGTGCAGTTGTTACCTTGTATCCCATCTCCAATATTTGTTAGAATGTTGCCAAGCTCTTCGAAAATCATCAGACATCTAGTTTGGTTTGTTTCGTCTTTAGGAAGACTTCCGATGAATTGTCCAAGGCATGTCACTAATGGCTCGAAACAATCGCTCAGATATTCTTGACATTTGAGTTTAGCAAGCTGTTCGAGTACGCACTCTAAATTATCCGTAAGGTTACCGATAAGGTTGCAGTAATCCATATTAGCTGATGGAGTAAATACTGGAGTTTGGCCACCACCACATGTGGAGCAACTTTCCTCACGAGCATCCGGTCCAGAAAGTAATTTATTAATTTCCCTTAGAATGTAACTAGCGTTGATGCCAAGTTCTTCAAGTTCCCTTAAGCATTTCTCCAAATCACTTCCAAGCTGAAAAAAGAATAGTCGTAAATGCTAAACGTCAATCCTTTTTCAAACATAATTTAGAAAAATTATTAAACATAATTAGACTAATTATTAAAAATAAATTAATATAATTGATATTTTATCTTTGGCTAAAAACTTTTATATTTAATATTTAATGAAAAGCATAATGTTAAACTAATTAAAATATTAATCTAAAAATGTTAATATTTTTTTTATTTGTCTAATAAAGAAAGATTTAAATCGAGTAACAAAACACTCGCATAAAATTAAATATACAAATAGATAATGTAAAACAACGAGGGGTAAGTATCATCGTATAAATGTTATAATTCTCCAAGAAGACAGACAAACAGACGTACGATAACTTTAATAAATAATGAATAGCTTATTTTTATAAACAACTTGAGTCGTCGTGTTACAGAAAAATGAGACATTTATATTACCTTTCTTTTATTTAAAAACAAAAAAAAAAAAAAGCTATGACATAGCATTAAAGTATTACGAAATTGATTTTAAGCGAGGAAAAGTAACGAAATACGTAACTTAAAATATTTAAATATTTAATTTATTTGTGAATAATATATAGTTTAGAATAATGAACATTAGCAAGAAACAAAAGTTACGATAATACAAAATTATATTAACATAATAAAATACGTTCAACTAACCTCACGGACGATACACGCTGTGAAATTATATAAATCAATTGTCTTTAAAAGATTAGCCACAAATCCGATAACAGTATAATCATCATTGCTTGGAAAATTTAACTCATTAAAAAAATCACCTATCTCATCTAAAATGCCACCATCAATTGACGGCCATGATGGCCACGAAGGCCACATCTGCCTCTGACCAAGTTGTTTTGAGACCTCTTCAATTATTCGTTTGCCTTGCTTTCCTGCAGAAAAGGAAACACCTTTCTTCATTTCATTCTTTGACGCTTTGCTGTTTTCTACGGTTGCAATTCCTTAAATAAATAAATAAGTAAAGTTTAATTAACGAAAATTATTCTTTTCAAATGAACAAATTCGACATATATTTAATAAAAAAGTTTACAGAACATTTAAAATGGTGAGTGAAATAATTTTAATTCATTTAACTTGTTTTCAACATGTAACATCTCAGAAATTTCACGTAGAATATAAGATAACAACACTATAAAATTGAAGTTTAAGCATTCAAGACTAAATATTAAATTATCAATTTGGAAATATAAATATTTTTGTAAATTTTTAACTTACCGATAAGAACCACGAGAAAGAGGATGGTTTTCATGTTGCTTTCGGTTTGTTGCTCGCCGAAATATGCTTGCACGACCGTTTTCCATGCATTTTTATAGCCAAGTTCTACGTTGAGTAATGCTATTTCTCCTCCTACCTGTCAATCCAAAATTTTGACATTGCAGATGGTATTTTCAGTTTCGAATCCAATGAAATTACTTCAATTATTTACGTGGATGGTGCTCTTCCTGTTTAAGTATTATTACGTTTCCGGTGGTTATGCTTTACGGACCTACACAGAATATATTTTATATTTAATCTAAATCACCGGCAGTGAGTTTCAATTGTTTTCTAAGTATTTAAATGTATTTATTCAACTAAAAAAAAAAAACAGTTATTTATTATACACGTGAACTTTAAGAACTTTACGCAAACTTATTCTTGCGCTATTCAATAAAACTTGCCTCGCTAATTGTACGTCTTCCCACTTACGGTTGCCCACTACGCACCTTTCCTGGTGTCCAAAAGGCTACCACTTCTATCAACTTTAAAGCCATATTAACAATCACCTTATTAGATCAGACCTGCATATTTATGGATCTATTTGTTGGAGCATAAACTGAACTTTTCCTGGTAAAATACTGCTTCACTACACTCACTGTCCGTTTCTTGCAGTATACATCTACAAAGAGATAAAAGTGGTAGAGCAATCTCTAAACCTTTATCTCTCATGGGAGTATTATAAGTTTTCTAAAACATCGATACTACATTCCTGGAAAAAAGTTATAACATCATGTTAAAAATCATTCGAATGTCAACTACTTAATGAGGTATTTGAAAATTTTAATATATAACTGATTATAAAAACAGATAAATATAAGTGTAAAAGACAAACTGGTAGTAGAACATCGCAGATGATAGAGTTTCGTCAAACGAAATAGCTGTAATTTATTAATAAAATACAAAGAATATGCTATTCGAGTTGGTTTCAAAATGTGAACTCTATAGCAGAGAATGAAGAAATTGCTGAAAGAATTACAAGCACTTTTACTTTACTGTGTTACAGAACTGGACGAGAGAACTTTGCTTTAAATTAGTTTACACAATAATACCGTATGTAGTGGCTCTTTTTACGTGTTATANCAAGAAGATTTCTTTTAATTAACTATAAAAAGTGTAATTATTACATATTAATTATTATTTTTGCGTACTTTAAAAGTTCAAAGTGTATAAAATGTTTCAGGATTCCACACACTTCTTCTATTTCTATCAGAAATTTAATGAAGTGGTCTTTAAATGATTACATAAGTGTTAAATATAAATTTATTACTTACTTTTATTTGTACAATTAAATTAATATCAACTAATAGCTACTAATATCGCATAAAAAGAAATGCTGTATACTTTGACTAATTTATTTAAAATAATTTATTGAAGAAGTGCATAAGCGAAGCGTCTTGTATATAGCTTAGGAAAAGAGAGAGTCAAGTCTTCGACCAAGTAGGTAGTGTTTTCATGTGCTCCTTCCTATTTCATGGTAAGCTCAGTGACTAGGCTTAGCATTGCTAAGGCTAAGTTTTTAGGCGTTGTATTTAGTGAACTTTGGTGTTTTTGGAGCATCCATCTTGGCTTCTTCAGCTGGGAAGCAACTGTGGTGAAGTTCAACAGCCATCTTGTGCAGTGGCAAAATAAACAATCGCAGCCATTGTGAGTGACACTATCTGCTACTTTTGGTTTTCAAGGGAACACCAAGAGCATCCCCTGTGTGTTTCAGCTGCCCGTGCGTAGGGATGTCGCCATAGCACTTTTGCAACTGTGAGAAAGCTAAAACCAGCAAGCACTTCAGGTGGGTTGCGAGCCAAGCTAGCTTGGCTGACACTTTTGCTGGGGTCCACCCTATCCATCAGGTGCCGAGGTAGTTTTCGGTGTGGATCAACATGCTTCAATATTCCAAGCCAGCAGTTCTGCATCCCTGGACAACTATATTAACGCTACATACTAGCAACCATTTACCTTCAGGATACTGAGCAGGAAAGCTGGTAAGTGTTTTTTGGTTAGCTTTATCGCTTCTTCCGGCTACTCAGAACTCTTGAGCTACATCAGTTCAAGGTTGTTGCTGTCTAGTGCGTCGTCAAAACTTGTCGGCATCCCGTGTAATCAATTCTGTTTGACAAGTGCGTCATTCAGGCACTTCGGCCAAGGGTCTTAACTCACAGCATTTTTTCGTCTAGAGTGTCAGTTCTCTTTACATAATCAATTACCTTTGTTCAATATTTGGGTGGTTTCCACTGAGCTGTTGTTATGGATGAGCCAGAGGAAGTGTCTGACCCTCCTCTGTTGGGTAGTAATTCTGCATCTAGGCCTAGTACTCCCGGGAGTACTATTGTGGATGGTGACTACAGCTCTGTCGAGGCAAGGTTACTGCAGGAATCGAGTGACAATCTACAGAGGATCATGCTCCTCATCCCAGCATCTAGTAAATCAAACCCATCGATCAACGAGAAAAAGGAAATTAACGATAGGGTCACACAAATGTTTTCTGCTATCAGCCAAATGTTTGGCATTCTGCAGGAGAAAAGATTATCAAAGGCAGGTCAGGGCAATGCCCATCATCAGAGTCAGCAGGCTTGTACAAATCCAGTATCCTATGCTGATGTAGTGAGAACTAACATCTCACCGAGTACCACCACAAAAGCCATATCAAGGTCCATAAATAACAAAATCAAGAAAGAAGGCAGTGGGAGCAGCTATGCTCTCATTGTCTATCCGAAAGAAAATGAAGGGGCTCGGGTTAACATGAAGGAACTTCACAAAGAAATCACTACAAACATAAAGCCAGACAAACTTAAAATAAAAGTCACAGCGATAAAGCCAGTAAAAAGGGGACGGCATATGCTTCCGTACTAGTACTAGGAGTGACGCATGTGCCTTGAAATGGGCAATTGGGGAGCTCTCGAAAGTGCACCCTCACGTTAGTACTAAGATATCAGAAGGTAGACCTCCGAGAATTATCCTGTTAAATGTCCCCAAATTCGGTTGAGGAAGATGGCATTATTGGTACTATTTATGAGCAAAATGCATCGCTCAACGCTATATGTAAAGAAGATTTTTTGTCCTCCACCAGAGTCAGCACTTCTCTCACAAGGAGTAACACGCGTGAGAACTGTCGACATATAGTTCTCACTACTACTCCAAACATCAGAAGCCAGTTAATTAAGTAATAGCATCTCTCAATCTCATGGGCCAATGTTCTTCTAGATGACTATGTCCATATAACTCGATGCTACATGTGCTGTGGTTTTAACCACATTGCACGCGAATGTTCCCTAAAGCAGTATTGCAGTCACTGCTCGAAAAGTCACAGATTCAGCGACTGCATGAGGAGAGACCAACCACCGTGCTGCATAAATTGTAAAATGTCAAATAAGGAACTGGCCCCGGATAGACGTCTACCCACCAATCATAACGCCTTCGACTCCAAATGCCCACATTCAATCAAAACAAGGGAGCAAGCTATTAAACAAACCAATTATGGGTACTAGTCCTTTTGGGAGTCTCAAACTGCTTCAAATTAATTTACAACGCTCCAAGGCTGCAGCTACTGAAGCTATTCAGGTGGCAAACTCACATCAGGCCGATCTTATAGCAGTCAAGGAACCGTATTGCTTTAATAAGAAAATCGCTCTCTTTGGGCGCTTCACTGTATTTAACCACATAAACCAGCTTAAAAACCCCCTAACTGGTATTATCTTATTAAATAATCGTCTAGATGCACAGCTCCTGCTGCACCACACCAACAGTTATTTTACCACCATCTTAATGAAGCATCAGAATACTTCAGTGGTTATTATCTCCTTCTATTGCCCACCATCTGTAGACATTACCAACCCACTAGAGGAACTGCAATCTACTATACAGCAACTTAATGGTCTCCCCGTCCTAGTGGTAGGGGATTTCAATGCTAAGTCCCAGGTATGGCATAGCTCCTTCGAGGATCCAAGGGGCTATAAGGTGGTCGAATTAATGAATAGTCTTAGCCTTCAGTCGCTAAACACAAGTACCCTGCCCACCTACTCTTCCTCCACGGGGGAGAGATGGATGGATATCAGTCTAGCAAATTGCCTCCTCACTCGGCAAGGCATCTACTGCAGCACTCTTGATGAGCATTCAGCAAGCGATCACAGTTATATTGTGACTTGCATTCATATGTCTCGTGTGGTTAAGCTGCTGTGTATAAGGCAAAAGACAAACTGGGCAAAGTATCAAGAACTTATCAAGACTCATTGGCACATTGATCCTGTGGTGCACATCGAAGATACCACTGCACTGGAGCTTGTTATTGATAAGTTACAATACCTAATCCTTTCGGCTTACCACTCAGCAACAACAATAACTACAGCGAGGCAATCTGCTCCCTGGTGGACGAAGTAGCTGTTTAACCAGAGGACCTCACTTCGGAGGGCCAGAAAAAGGTTCAGGCAGGAGACTGATCCTGTTAGGAAAGAAAACCTGCGACAAGATTACTTAACGTTATTCCGTTGCTACAAGACTGCCATACAAAAGGCACGCACTGAGTCATGGAGGAGGTTCTGTTCAGACATGGGAGGTGACAAGCCTTGGTCCGTCCCTTACTATATAGCAAGGGGCAAGGTTATAAACACCAGGATCCCTATCAATCTTGTTACTAACAACAGCAACCCCAACACCTCAATTAAAGACACCTTCAACCATATAATCAGGGATCTCTTCCCCAGTGATGACCCTAACACGGACAGCAACATCCACTCCACTATCCGTCAAAACAGTTTAACCAGCTCCTCCACTTTTGAAGATAGGCCATTCACATACCAGGAGATTGCTAATGAATTCTCAAGGCTAAAGATTCGTAAGGCACCCGGCCCTAACCATATCAGCCCTAGGATGGCAAAGATGGCTTTTGAAGCTATTCCTACAACCTTCACTACAATATTTAATAGGTGCCTGCAGTTAAGCCTTTTCCCCCACATATGGAAAATAGCATCTATAAAACTTATTCCCAAGAATAATAATCCTACTAAGTCAACAGACTATCGTCCGATTTCTCTCCTCCTGGTAATAGGTAAAGTTTTCGACGGTCTGATGGTCAACAGACTCCAGTATCATTGTAAAGCTAACAACTGTCTAAACAGCAATCAATATGGATTCAGGAGGGGTAAAAGCACGATCAATGCTTTGGAATCAATTGTCAATTTTATTCGGGAAGCTAAAGAAAGGGATGAGCACACCATGGTGGTCACCATTGATTTCAAAGGTGCTTTTGATCATGCATGGTGGCCCGCAATCCTCAATGCTATCAATGGTACCGTGTGCCCTAAGAACATCTACGCCTTAGTCAAGAGCTACCTAAGCAACAGAAATATAGTGGTAACCAGCAATAATCACATCTACCTATTAAGGGGCATCAGCAGGGGCTGCCCACATGGCTCCAGATCTGGGCCATTTTTATGGAATATTATGTACAGTACAACAGCCTCTTGGATCTAAGCTTTTCTATACCAGCTGCTTACAACTGTAGGTTACAGGGCTACGCAGATGACACGATTCTGGCACTCACCCACCGGAATCAAGAAGTCCTGCAAGCCAGGGCCAACAGCATTCTGCAAGATATCTCAACATGGTGTCAAAAGATAAAACTTAAAATTAATTACAAGAAGTGTTGCTGTGTAGTCTTCCCAAGGGCTGCTCCCTGCACAAGGGGCCTATAATCAGATTAGATGGACACCGGATTAAAAACAGCAATACGGTCAAGTACTTGGGTGTGCTACTGGACAACAGACTCACATGGAAGCCCCACGTCTATTATATTTACGAAAAAGCAGTCACTGTCATGCATTCTCTGGCCTCCATAGCCCGCAATCATTGGGGGTATGGCAGTGTGGCATGTCGGCTACTTTACATTGCGGTCCTTGAACCTATCCTGATTTACGGTTCGGAGGTTTGGGGAACATCCATCACCAAGGTTCACATTAGGAGAAAGCTCCTTTCGGCTCAGACGCTTGCCCTCATTACAATAACCAAAGCCTACAAGACAGCCCCAACCGACGCACTCTTGGCAATTGCTAACCTAATCCCAATAGACATTGTCATCAAAGAGAAAGTTTGGACGTTTCATCAGCTTCAGCTGTCCACTGGCACCGTTACTACCAATCGCTTTAACAACATCATTAGTCAGATTGGTGTAAGCCCAGCTGCAACATGCATTTCTGATCACTTGTCTAAACACAAGCTCGACTACAATCCTCGGCATTTTGCCCACCATCCTAGCACCACTATTGATGAACTGTTCACTCTGGGGGGTGCTGATGCCCCTATCGGCCTCTGTATATATACAGATGGGTCAAAATCTGACGCGGGGGTGGGGTGCTCAGTCGTCGTGGCAAACAACAACAGATACATCCACCAGGCTCGGTTTAGGCTGGCTAGCCATTGCACTGTTAACCAAGCCGACTCCCTGGCCATCTACAAGGCTTTACTTTGGATCACGGAAAATAAGAAGGCTTTTAAAATCACTAGGGTTACGATCCTAAGTGACAACAGTGTTGCTCTGTTGCAACTTAAGAAACTTAATACTAAACTGTCAATAATTCAAGATAGCATCAATCTTCTGCTCACACTACCCCACACAGTATATTCATCAAGCTTTCCTGGGTGAGGGGGCACTCTGGCGTTCAGGGCAACAACAGGGCTGATCTATTAGCTCGCTCGGCGCCTGTCTGGACGCGGAGATGTTCCTTCGGTGTCACCCCAGTATCATGGCTAAAGGAGAGCATCCGCAGCCACTCATGGAAGTGCTGGCAAGGAAGATGGGACAACAGCTCCACGGGCAGGACTACTTACAGCTTCATTCCCAATGTTCTTCAGAGGAACCTTTGCAAGCATCTTGTCCCCACATTCCAGGTTACTCAACTTCTCACCGGGCACGGCAACTTCTGCAGCTACCTCAATAGGTTCCTGCCGAAGACTGACAGCAAGTGCCCATGCTCCTTATACGAAGACGAAAGCACAGAACATGTTATCTGGCACTGCCCATCATACAACGAACAGCGAAAGGTACTCATAAGCACGATCCAAAAGGAAAATGAACTATGGCCATGCCACAGGAAGACTATGATAGATAACAGCAATATCTTCAAAGCCCTGAAGACTTTTGCATTGGATATAAAAATCCTTGACTGAGCATCTTCGTGGACGTACTTGTGCTACCTCTTTGGGGGCTTCTTCTTAAGTGCAAGGATATAGGGTAGGTAAACCCATCACTGTGTAACATCACTTCGGCGGTCAAACCTGCTCTACTGTATTTATCATTGTAAATACTTTGTCTTCTTTGATAACACATTGTAAGCGCTCCCTAGGCACTCATCCTATATTGTATGTCTCGGCAAGACTTTTCAGGTCATGTGTTGTTTCTCAGGTGTAACGTGTTGTTTCCGTTAAGTGCTTCTAACTGTGCGTGTAACTGTAACCCTGGATGCCAACTGCAGCTTTACGAACAGTATTGTAACATCATAATTGTTTTGGCCTGTTTAGGTGACATTATTCTTTTTTCTAGCCAATTAAAAGCATCCTATTTTTATGTTAGTACCATGTACGGTACCTGGAAATTTATTGTACACGTTTCTGTCAGCTCAACAAGCTTGTATTATGTACGCGTATCGGTAAAGTAGTTTTCAATTATCGTGCCACAAATGCAAGTTCTACTGTAATTTGTATGCTCATCTTTGTATATATTATGCACTTTGTTTTCAATCCAATTTAATGCATTGCAAGCACCCATGGATCCCTCAATAACTTTCAACTATCCTATCTCACTTCTTTTCACCTTCACCTTACTCTCTTCTTATACAAACTTTACTTTTTCCTTCCTTTTCTGGTTCCGGGGCTATACCTATGAGTGCGGCCCATCACCTCCTCCTACGATGTATATGGCTTAGAGACTGGTGTTTGTTCTCAAAATCTGTTCGATCAACTTTTATTTAACTTTACCATTTTTAATTAATATCAATGAGAAATTCAAAAAAGTAATAAAAATGGCTTTGTTTTCGAGATATAATATCGTAGTTCAAACACAACATTGTTGTCGATGTTCCACGAGCACTCCTATGAACTTATAAAATTGACTTTACTGTTTACTAATAATTGTGATCAGGAATCTGAAACTGTGATCAGAATTTATTTAAATGTAAAAGGTAACCGCGTGAAACAAGAACAAAGCAATCGCCATCATTTGCTATGTTCTTGAATGCCTGTTAGCGTGCAACCAGTGCAAGGATTCGGCAGCTACAAAGATTGCCTCTTCTGTGCTTAACAAATGGATCAGTTCTTTCTTTCCGGCTTTGTTCATTTCTGCAACGATACAAGAAAGTCGCGCGATTTCGTACATATATTCATATTTAAGTTATTTTACAGTACTGTATTAAGTTTAACATTAATTAAATGTACTTTTCAATCTAAAAAATTTAATACAATGAAATATTTGAGGCAAAAAATAATTACGTAAACAACTCAGAAATTACATATGTATCGTTATATAATCGAGATTTTTCTTAAATTTAGTTTTATTTATTGTGGGAATCCTCAGTTGAGATAGTGTGTTTCCCACGTTTTTTTCGGCCTGAGATCGGGAAGATCCGCCTGCAGGGTCACTGATATGGGTTTTAAGTATTATTTAATTTGGGGACATGAAATTCGTAAGATCCCCCTGTCAGGTTTTCTTGACGCCAGCCTAATTAGAGCGTTAAGCAAGCTAATGAATAAATATAAAATGCTTTTCCAAGAGGGAGGGATCGTGGACCCCTGATAAGACTGACGTTGAGTTGAGTGCAATAACGAGACCATTTAAAGCAACAAAACAAAATTTAATGACGACCAAAATATAAAAGGATAATTAATCGATACATAAAGAGATGCGAGACCTCTATCTGATCGCGAGAGAGAGATGGCTTAAAACTTAAACATACTATGTGAAAGATAACTCTGGATAGAAGGCTTCTTACTCTAAGATGAACCGAGAGCGGCAAATTATTCCGGCGGACAAGGGTCGTGGAGGAAGATGAAGATGTTGGATTTGTAAACACCAGAATATTTTTCAAGAAATCTCCGAATCGGGGGGGATCGAACATTTTAATGTGAGTTTCGTCCAATAAAAATTATAGATTTACGTTCGCTAACAAGGGGTAGATACACGAATGGTTGTCAAAGTTGTAGATAAGAACGTGTGAAAGGGAAGTTAATTTTCCCTTTTACACAAAAATGATAGATGTGTTTTCCGTTAATGAAAATAACACATAGAAGATATATATATTTTTTTCAAAATAATCAAAGTGAAAAATTTTGCTACAATTTAAAACAGTAATACTCTCTGTCGAAAGATGTGGGAAACGTCTTGTACGACC